AGGTACAGGGTGTGAAATTAAAGCAACGAATCAGACAATAAAAATGACTGGTGAGGGAGAATAAAAATCAAGAGAATGTAGAATCCTTGAAGTCAAATGGAGGGAAAAGTTTTTCAAAGAATAAAAATGGGCATATCACTACCGATCTTACAGATGTTAGAATTTAACCAGTATACTATGACAAATTTGGTATGATAATTTAGATGAAATGTTCAAACTCCTTGAAGAATATTAGTTATCACCAGACAAAGAAGAAATAGTAAACATGGAAAGGTTTATATCCATTATAGACTTAAATCTATAATCAAAATCCTTCTCTCAAAGAGAATTCTAAGTCCTGATGACTTCCAGGGTTAATTCTTACAAATATTTAAGGAAAAAATAGCGTCAATACCTCTCATATAATTTTTTTTTCAAGATAATAGGAAGTTATTTTATAAGGTTAGCATAACCTTTATACAAAACTGAAAGGATATTATTTAAAAAAAAAAAAAAAAAAGGCCAATCTCATCTCTGAACACAGATGATACACTCTAAGTAAGATCAAATCAGGCAGGTATGAAATGGGTAATAAATGCCATACAAATTAGATCTATGTAAGACATTCAATTTTGGTCTACCATGTGATAAACAATCAATGAACAAATGATTTCAAAGAAAACAAATATATGATATTCTCAATAAACAGAGACAAAGTCTTTGAAAAAAAATCAAAATAAAATTTCCTAGTAATCTAGGAAGAGAAGGGAATGAGTATCATTTGCTTATGGATATTTAGTGAGATCAAAACAAAACAAAACAAAAACAAACAAACAAACAAACAAAAAAACCCTACAGCAAACTTCATACTTCAAGGCAAAATATTCAAATATTACCCACTGAGACCAGAAGCAATGTAAAAAGTTTCTGTTTTCCACCAAAGTTATTCATCACTATACAGGATGTCCTAGCCAGCTTGATAGGGCCAAATTAAAATATAGAGGGTCTTATAAATTGGGGGAAAAGAAAAAAAACCATCTTTGTGTAGGTAGAAAATCCAAAATAATCTACAAATAGACTTAAAAATAAGTATGTGATTTTAGCAAACTCATTGAATATAAGGTCAACATAAAATGCATTTGCATTTCTACATACTAACAATATTTAAATAATAAAGGGTAAAAGTTACTACTTTTGTAGCCTCAAAAACATCAAATAATAAAATCCATTTAATAAGATGATTATAGTAGTCAGGAATCTCCATAGAAACAGAATTAATCTATCTAATAAAAGAGTAATATATAAATTGACAATCATTCCAACACACAAGATGGCTGCCCCCATGTGGTCAAAGTTCCTGCCCCCATGTGGACACAAGATAGCCACCACAAAATGGCCAGCAGGGGAGGGCAGTTGGAAGGGACCAGGCCTGCAGGGGAGGGCAGTTGAAGGCAATCAGTCAAGCCTTCAGAGGAGGGCAGTTAGGGGTGACCAGGCCGGCAGAGGAGGGAAGTTGGGGGCAAACAGGCTGGCAGGGGAGTAGTTAGACATCAATCAGGCTGGCATGGGAGTGGTTAGGGGGTGCTCAGGAAGGCAGGCAGGTGAGCAGTTAGGGGCAAGCAGTCCTGGATTGTGAGAGGCATGTCTGACTGCCCATTTAGGCCAGATCTGGAATTGAGTCTAAATGGGAAGTCAGACATTCCTTAAGAGGTCCCAGATTGGAGAGGGTGTAGGCTGGGCTGAAGGACACCCACTCCTGTGCACGAATTTCATTCACTGGGCCTCTAGTAAGATATATATGTATATGTATGTATATATAGGGTGTCCCAAGAAATGCATACACACACTTTTAATAATTGTAAATGTAGAGTTTATTAAAATACATTTCATTTTCGAAATTGAGCTATCAGTTGTTAAAAATGTATATACATTATTTTGAAATTCCCTGTATATATGACATCTGAAACAACCATTGGTCACAAAATGGCTAATAAGTTGTAGAATAGTCAAACAATGGAATAATAGACAATTATGAAAAATACTACACACCACAATATAGAGTCACCTCACAGAAATAATGTTGAGTTTAAGAAGACAAATGCAGCTGAAACCAGTTTGGCTCAGTGGGTAGAGTGGCGGTCTGAGGACTGAAAGGTCCCAGGTTCGATTCCTGTCAAGGGCATGTGCCTTGGTTGCAGGCACATCCCCAGTAGGCAGCTGCTCGATGTTTCTAACTATCCCTCTCTCTTCCTCTCTGTAAAAAATCAATAAAATATATATATATTTTTTTTTAAAGAAGAAGACAGATGCACAAGAGTACATACAATATGATTTCATGTTCTATTGTATGACATGGGGGGTAGTCACATAGAACTGATTATACTTGTCCATAAAACTGTACTTTTTAAGTAAAGTGCACTTAATCTGGTCTTAGTGATTCAACAATTCATGACAGTGTCCTGTTATCCTGATAACTTGCTATGTATAAGCATGTGAATAATATAGTTTTATATTTAGCCAGCATTTATTTTTTTTAATCTAAATTAAACATATTTTCCATATCAGGAATCATTCCAAGTGACAGAAATTTTAAGGAAATCAAAGTGTTAACAGTTACAAAGCTTTGCTTTGGCTTATAACTTATTCTGGCCATGACTTTAACTTTCAAAGGCATGTATTATAGTTCAAGCAGGGGAGAGTAGCAAAGATCTTCCAAGTGGAAAGAAAGTTGTCCTTTAATATAGAAAGAAACTTCAAGAGACTAAGTTAGGAGTCAACTTCCTACTCAGCCAGATGAATGCCATGAAGCTGCCGTAGTGGTGATAAATGTAGGTAGATGGCCTTCACCTTGGCAATGCCATGCTCCCTACACACAGATTCATTATGTTTCAGGGTGAACATCCGAAGACGCAACACTGTGAACTTGGTTGCCAGGAGGAAGGGTGTCGCCTTGGGTTTCTCTCATGCCTGGCCATCTGACCAGTCTAGTCTGAAATTGTGGGCATTGGCTCCTGTCTGGTAACAAATAAGATGAGAATGATGACTCAGGGAACAAAGAGATAAGGCTTCTGTTTATTGTCCCTTTTCAAAAAATCCTTGGTGCTCTCTGTCTCACCCACAAATTGCCTTCAAAATAAAGATACAATTTCTCAGCCTGGGAGTCAAGGTCCATTCAAGCTGGCTCCGTGCTACTTGGGAACATGGTCTTGTCCTGGTCACCCTGAGCCACCTGTGCTCCAATCAGGGTCCCTGCACACTTGCTTGAACCCATCACGCCCTTCTCTGCTTTGGAGCACTTCCTTCTCATGTTGGCTGCTGCCTGAACACTCTGCCCTCCCCTTCTCCACTTCTTGAGGGGAGGGGTTACATATTCCTTGTTTTGTCCACAGAGATGAGCAGAGAGTCAGGTAGAAACAAACCCTGTAGTTTCATAGCTGTGGTAGACTTTTAGAGAGATGAGATCTACTTAAAGATATTAAAGAAACTATGTTGTAAAGTCTTAAACAGATGAAATAATACCAAAGTGAATAACATAAAGAATGTAAGTTCTTCTCTGCGGACATCCCGTAAGGCTGACCAGTGTTTTTCCTCCCAGACATTAGTCTGGCTGCAGAGAACTAAACTTTTTTCTCCCCAAAGATGGCATTACATTATGCACTCTGTTCTGCAACTTTAAGGTTCATCATTCACTTACTAGTTCCTGAACCTTTCCCCATGTCAGTGCAGAGAGGTGACTTAAAAAAAAAATCAGTTGGAGGAAAGCCTTCAGCATGCTTTTCTCTGCCCGAGGAGGCCCTGCCACCTGCCCAGGAGCTGCAAGTACCACGGAGGGGACTGAGCAAAGTGGGACCCAGGGCGTTTCTCAGCTTCTGTCCTCTCCCTGGGCGCCCCCTGTCACTGGGGACCTGCTCCTAGGAGAGGGCACGCCTGGCCCAGTGCCTTTGCAGGAGGGACCACCTGCAGGGAAGAGAGCCAGTCAGGAGTGGGGGCCCGTTACCTGCAGGAGGAAAATTCTGTCAGTGCACACAGCACCGGGCAAAATTGGGGCATTCTTCCTTCCTTCCTTCCTTCTTTCCTTCCTTCCTTCCTTCCTTCCTTCCTTCCTTCCTTCCTTCCTTCCTTCCTTCCTTCCTTCCTTCCTTCCTTCCTTCCTTCCTTCCTTCCTTCTTCTTTCCTTCCACAGTTCAGTGGTTTGTCTTTGAGAGTTAACTTCATCATGATTGTTCATCTATCCAGCCCCCACTCTGAAAGCATCTCTGATCTCTACCTCCTCCAGTGACCTTGCCCTTCGTCCTCTCCTACCCGCCCCATGTTCTCTTGGTCCCGAGGACAATTTGTAAACTATCGGGATCACAAGACCATCTTTCGGCTCTCCCGTGACCTGATGACGAATTTCACCTACTCCCTCAGGTTGGATCCCATGTCTGAACGACCTGGACACGCAGTCAGGATGCAACCACCTCCCGCGTGCAGCCAGTCCCAGGACACTCCTGGTTGCGCAAGGAAGCATCAGGAGGCTGGGCGCCCAGCCAGGGAAAAACTAACCCCCAAACCGAACTGCAAACCCGGTTCTTCCTTTCATTCTAACACAGCCCGTTCACTGCTTAAAGGAGATCACCCACCCGAGCCCCAGGCGCCTCTCCCTCCTGAAGTTGCCCTAAATTGCACCCCGTTCTCCTCCCCACGCCACCCAAGTGCCTTCCTTTCTTCTCAGCGCCCTCTGCCTGCAGCATGGGTCTTCCGGGCTTTCCTTTCTGCCTGAACCAAACACAGAGGCCCCAGCGCGTTACGTAGGCCTCTGTCTGCACGACAACAAGCCGGCGGGGCTTTCCTCCAGCCGGGCGGCCGCACCCAGTCCCCACGCCCCCGGGCAGGGCGGTCCCCCGAGCGGGAAGTCCCGCTGCTGGGCGCCTGGGCTTGTGGCTGCTGGAGGAGGGAGAGGCCATTGGGCCTGGCGCTACCCCTTCTCCCTCCCCCGCCCTCCCGGCCCGCCAAGCCCGCCCCCCGGGAATTGCGGGGCTCCTCCCAGGGCTGCTGGGGCTGGATCAGGCCCCGGCCCCAAGGTTCTGGGTCTCAGTCCGCGCGCGGAGCCCACCGCTGGCACGATGATGACCCTCTGGCTGGTGTACGTCGGGCAGAAGCTGCTGCTCTGGGGCGCGCTCAGCGCCTTCTCCCTGGCGGGCGCCACCTTCATCCTGAGCTTCCTGCAGATGGTGATGAGATATGCGCATAACTGGCTGGAAATGAGGCCCCTCCCCACCATTGCGGGCTCCTACCCGTTTGTGGGACACATGCTGATGCTGGAGCGAAGAGGGAAAGGTAAGGGACTGCGCACCTCATCCCTGCCACAGGGCTTCCTGGGCCCTTTGCAGGGAACCAAGGCGCGGGAGCACCTCCTGAGCAGCACCCGCACCCCATCTTGGAGCACCGGACTGGAAATGCAGGCTGCTGGGTGAGGGGCGCCTCTATCACCCCCTGGATAATGGGTCCCCACTTCTCTCCAGTTTTCATTACATATACGTAATGAAAGAGTTTCTAAACGCCTGTCCTTCTGCCTTTTCTCTTCTCATTTTCCCAAGTCCTGGCTGCTGCTGTCTTAAACCACCGCCTCTAGCCCTAGCCGGCTTGGCTCAGTGGATAGAGCTTTGGCTTGCAGACTGAAGGGTCTCGGGTTTGATTCTGGTCAAGAGCATATGCTTGAGTTGCAGGCTCCATCCTCAGTGAGGGACATCCAGGATGTAGCTAATCAATGATTTTCTCTCATCATTGATGTTTCTATCTCTTTCTCTCTCTCTCTCTCTCTCCCTCTCCCTGTCTCTCTGAAATCAGTACAAATATATTTAGTAAGAAAAACAAAAATAGCTACAAAAAACACCGCCTGTCCTAAAGGCAGACACAACTTACAACTTAGTCTCTCTCTCTCTCTCTCTCTCTCTCTCTCTCTCTCTCTCTCTCTCTCTCTCTGCAAATAAGGAACGAGAAATGCACTTGAGAACAGAGCCTCTGACTTCAGAAATCACAAGACTTGACCACAACTTTCATTCCTCCTTGGCCCTTCTGTGGAGGTTACATAACAACAATGAGTTATGATGCTTTTCATCAAGGCCTGCCCCAAAAGGCACATAGCAAGTTTAATGCTGTCATTTCAACTTCACAAGAATACTGAGGCCTCATGGGAGAGTGTTACCAAAATATAGAAAATGTTTCTGGCCGAAGACATCCAAGTAAACCTTTAACCAACCAAACAGCAATGTGACTAATGTTGCAAGTGATGCAGCACATTTTGATATATGGAAACCACATTTGTAAAATCATCACAGCGAACACTAAAGGCAGAGCTAATCTTCCCTCCTACCCAAAGGCTATAATATGAAAAAACAATGGTGTAGAAATATAGGCCCCTCCTGTATGTATGTATGTATGTATATGTATATATATATACATATACATACATATATATATATATATATACATACATACACACACACAATATACTTAAGAAATCTCATCATAGTCTTTAGGGAATTTTTCTAAGAATTGAAATTTCTGGTGAATAAGATCCATTTCAAAATAAACGGTGAGTTACTGGATTATTTAAAGTAATTCTCCTTATAGTTACTTCCAGAGAGAAGAGAATGATAACACAGTATCCTCCTCAAGGGTCTTTTTAATGCATCAACAACTACAGGATCTGGACATATGACCAACCTTTGATACCTTTCTGCTTGTAACCAAGTTGCTTGACTTTAGCAAGTTCCTTAAAACTCTTTAAGTTAGAGTGTGTTACCCTTTACTTGTAAAAGTCACTGTAGTACAGTCACTTGGAGGATTTAAGTTCATGCGTGCATTTTCTAGACCATTGTCCGGAACCTGGTTTGAGTCCATTTTTTCATTGTCAATCATGCCCTTATTTGAGGCCCTCCTTTGTGCACAGCATTGAGCTCAGCAAAATTGGGCAGAGCACAGCATTTAAAGGTGTATTCCCCAACCTCAATACCCTTGTGTCTTATACAAGCGGCTGTACCTTTCATTGTGTGGCTACCCTCCGCATTCTGGCCTAGGAAGTCTCACCTGGAGAATTGCAACTGACTCCCAACTAGGCTGCAGAACTCCATCTTTTGCTTCTCCAGTCCTTTTGTGAGCACCTGTCTTCTCCAGCTGCTCCCTGCCATGGGGCCCACCTGAGGCCTTCCAACCACGGGTGTCGATTTCCCTGTCTCCTCTGCCAGACCAGACCAAGGCAGTGGTTATGGCCATGCATGCTACATACATTTTGACACTGTTGATGGGACCTAGCTCCTTTCACTGCAGTTTAGCCAATGGTTTGACTGGAATTGGTGTGATGTAATGGGGAAGATGGCACAGTGTGTATCTGGGTGCCTGGGGTACAGAGCCAGGCCTGCATTTACCAGCGCTGTGCTATTGTGCAACGACTCAGCTGAGCACAACTTCCTCAGCTGTTCACTGACTTCTGTAATAGTGTTTCTCATCTGACTGTGGTGAGGCATAAAGACATAGGCATTGGAAACCCTTAGCTTTGCTCTGATAGGCAAATATATATGACAAAATGAATGTTAGCTAGCTTGGAAGATTCATTATTGGGTTTTGAGGGTCCCACATGTGCAAACACTATAAACAACTACGGTATTCCTGTTTCTTCAGTGTCACGTGCAATGCACATCCCTGTGCTTTAGCCTCTCTCCCGCTGCACTTTGAGCAGCTTGCCCTGAAGCCCAGGGGTGGGGGAGCTGAGGGATGGGAGAAGGAGCAGGGGTAGTTGAGTATGTGAACAAGTATTGGCACAAAAAAAGAGCTGGAAAGTTTAATAGTTGTTTTTTTATTCCATGTCAATCTGTCTGTGGGGCCCAAATTCCCATTTAAAACAACCTCAGGTGCCATCTGTATTAGTAGCCTCACAGTGCTGTGGGCATTAGTCCTTCTGCTGTCAGGGGGCATTCCCTTTGCCTAAGAAAGCCTGGGTACCACATGCCTCCCAGACAGTGTGCTCTCCTTATCCCTCCTTCCTTGGATTTTGCCAGCAATCTCAGGACAGTGCCTCATTTTCCAACCTTCCTCTGGTGAACTCAGTTGATTGACTTGGGCTCTGTCTAACCTTTGCCAGGTCTTTTCTCTGAGGGCTGGACCCTATACCCCAATCCTTTTGCACTTGTGATCCCCCACCCCACCCAACCCCCACTCCCAGGTAGCACTCACCAATTCAGTGTTTCCTGAGCTGACCCAGAGTTTTGTCATTGTTTGAGCTTTCTGAATGTCAGGCTGCATTCCCCAGATGGGGCCTCAGGGATTTCAATACAAACTTTCCCACTACTTCAGTGTTGTTGGGATTACTGGTCACCATTCCCCCCCCGCCCCCCTCCCACCGATACAAGGACCAGCCATAAACCAGGACCAGGGCCCCTAACACTGGCTGCATGGAATTCCACCCCAGAAGCTTCCTGCATCCTTGGACTAGAATCCCAAGTTCTCCACAGATCCCACACACCTCAGTGTTATCGTCCTAAAATATAGCTCTGTGGTTCTAGCACTCCTCAGGAACTGTCAGATATTGCCTAGAGACCATAAAGGAAAATCCAACTTCTTTAGCCTTGCAACACTCCAGGCTCATCTATCAATGTTATCATCCCCATCCTGGGCTCTGGCTAAGCCTATAGGCAATTCTCAGACCTCCCTGACTCTGCTCTGCTATTTCTGCTGCTTGGTTTACCCTCACTGCCTTTTTCTTCCTATAAAAAGCCAACTCATTCATTTGTGTTCAAAAGCCATCTCTTTCTTGGAATTTCTCTGGTCCTTTCAATGCAAATAGATAACTCCTCAGACTTAACCTTCTAATTTAGCCCCATTTTATTTGACCTGATACTGTGATTAGTACCACAGTGACCATTTCCTATGATTCTAAATTTCTTGAGAGTAGGGATCTCGTCTTTTGGTGGTACATGTTCCTTGCCTGTGGATGTGGCATGAAGTGTTTTCTAGAAAAAGTAAGGTACTTCTGTCATATTCATTCTTACATCTAGACATGTCATAGGAAACTGATTTGATTGATTACCAACTTTCCCTATCTAATCCCTACACTTTTCTCAGTCCTTCTCAGTAAATATTTTTAGCTTAAGAATTCTTTCTTCTATTCACTACTAGAGGCCCGGTGGATGAAATTCGTGCATGGAGGTGTGGGGGAGTAGTGAATCCTTGAATTTGTTTTTATTTGGTTATATTTGTTATTTTTTGTTTTATATTTTATATATGAGTTAAATCAGACTGTTTTTGTCCTTGTCTATCTGACATATTTCACTTAGCATAATACCCTTAAGGTTCATTCATCTTATCACAAATGACAATATTTTATCTTTAAAAAATATTGATTTTGGAGTGGAAAGGAGAGAGAAACATCAGTGATGAGAGAGAATCATTGATTGGCTGCCTTCTGCATGCCCCACACTGGGGCTCAAGCCTGCAACGCGGGTATATGTCCTGACTGGGTCAATGCTCAACCACTGAGCCATGCCAGCTGGGCCATTATTATCGCATCTTCTTTATCCATGCATCCTCTGATGGGCACCAAAGGTTGCTTCCATAACCTGCTTACTGTAAATAAAGCTGCAGTTAACATTGCTGTGCATATATTTTCTGAATTAGTGTTTTCATGTTCTTCAGATAAATACCCAGAAGAGGAATTGCTGGATCATATGGTAGCTCTAATCTCAATTTGTTGAGGAGCTTCCATACTCTTTTAGAGGGGGTGAAAGGGAAGCATCTATTTGCCAGGGCTGGAGAGCTGGGACAGGTTTCCCTTTTGATAGAAGCGGAGCCTGAAGCAGGTCAGGAGGAACTGAACACCCTCAGCGCTCTTGGGAGGCATGTCATAAGGTCACCACAAACCCCCACAGTGCTTGGCACTTCTCAGTTAACCAGGTTGTTGCACATATATCATTCATAATTAAATTAGCCTCATAATTCTGCATTCATAATTTAGTAAGGACACCTGTGTGGTTATATTAAATGAGTTGACCAAAATAAAAAAGAGTATCAAATGAGTTGACCAAAATAAAAAAGAGTATCAAATGAGTTGACCAAAATAAAAAGAGTAAAAAAACTAAAAAGACACAGTAAGGAACTTACTTAAAATTAAATATTTTCTCCTAGAGTTTTTCCAGCAGCTGATTCGTTACACTGGAGAAAACAGACACGTGCCAATGCTAAAACTCTGGCTTGGCACAGTACCAGTAATAGCCATGTATAAGGCCGAAACTATAGAGGTGAGTTTATGATGACTGTGATCAATGTTCCACTGTATATTTGATGGTGCGAGAATCTCATCAGAATAAACAGCAAATATATGTCCTTATATTTAATGGAATTCAAATCAATGAAGATTCCATTAAATATCTAAAGCTGTGAAGATGCCATTTAATGCTTTCCAGATACAGTCTGAGTTCTGGGAAGAGTAGCAGCTTCTACATGTCTATACACATTTGGTATCAAGTAATATATTTGTCCTCCTTTTTTGGGAAGTCTTCAGTTGAACAGAACCATAAATAGATTATTCTATAAATTGAGCTCATAACATCTGCCAAGCACTGTTTTAAGATTACAAAAATATAAGACTAATAAAATATAAGTGTTTCCCTTACAATGCTCAGAGTATCCTTTATACTTTTATTATTTCAAGTTAATTTTTAAAAAGAGAACACTAATCTGATATTGGTGGGGAAGATATTGTTAATTCACATTATTGAAATTATTCCTAAAACATGTTCACCTTTCTTTTACTTATCATGATATTGGGGGTGTGATCTTATGGTTTGATGACAAAGGATTTGAGACAGGAAGTAAAAATGGGATAAACAGACCACTCTTCTTTGGAGCAAAATTAACAGCAGAATTTCCTATGCTTGTTGGGCTTGGATACATCTTTCTTACTCATTGTGTAAAACTCTTAGTGTCTCTGGTACCACCCTGCAGAATCTACTGGCCCAGAGGAGACAGCGAGAGGGGCACATATGGGGTTTCAGTCATTGCTGGCCTAGTGTGAGTGGGCTTGGTATATATATTATAGATAGGGATCTGTCCAAAGCAGGCAACTGTAGCAAGAAGCCTGAGAAGCATTTTGTGCATATGCTCTTCCCTTCTGCTTTACTTTGGCTCCAGGCAACCTAACTATACCCATGGTCCCCAGTGCCACCTATGCCCTGGAGACACTCAAATGTGTACCCAGTATAAGCCTTAATCCTGAGCCGCATACCTGCTTTCAGACTATGGCAACTTGAATGCCTCCAAATCAACATACCTGATCATGAACTTGTGATTGTCATCTCCCTAAATGCGGTCATCCTTTGATTCACCCACCTTCTCTTCCCTCACTCCTACCCTCACTAAACAACTCCACGTGGCTCCTAATTTATGGCAGGAATCAGGGAATTCTCTTGGACATTTTCCATTCAGGCAACTCCAGCTGGTCTTCAAGAGCCAGTGACAGTTGTATGCTCCAAACTAATTGGATTTGAGTCATAGTAATGAATATGAACTACAACTAAGTAATTGTTATGAAATGCTAATTTAGAAAGTTATTTTGTTCTAGCCCAGTATTCTTATAATTAAGGTGGCTTTCAGATCTCTGTCTTTCATTTTCCTTTTCTCTCTTTCTAAGGTAATTTTAACTAGCTCAAAGCAAATTGACAAGTCTTATCTGTACACCTTCCTACGACCATGGCTTGGCCTAGGACTTCTTACGAGGTAAGTCAGTGTAAATCAGTAAAGCTGTCTTGTTCGTAACTTATGTCAGGCACTGACAGGAGGTGGTTTTCAAGAATGTGCCATCAGGTAGTAACGAGAAGCTGAAAAGCTTGTGTAATTATGGGCCTCTGAGAGACAGGAACCCAGGATGTAGAGTAATCTCCAGCTATGGCATTCAATAATGATAATCACCTGTGTTCGAAGGAGGGTAAGGAAGTGCCAATGTATAAAAGGAGTGCGACACCTGGGAGTTTTGAGCAGGGAAATCTTGAAAATTCAATGAAAAAGGCAGTCATCCTCAGAGAAGTAAGGGGAGCACAGTAACCTCAGTCCTTGTGCTGCCATCCAAGAACAGGACTCCATGAACTGAGAAGGAGAAAGCAGGACTTCGGCGGGGACTTTGGAGACTTTGAAGATGTTAGGATCAAAGTAGACTCAGGGAGCTCCTTGATCTTCAGAGGCTGAGGTTGGAAAAGAGGGGACATTTCTAATTTTTGGAAACTCAGAACTTAGAAATTTAGAAAACTTCTTAAAATATTCAATTTTGATGAGCACTCTTTTAAGTATTTGTAATATAGACAATATCTAAAATATGCCCATTCTGTAACTATCAATATATATCAATCTCTCCTTGTCATTCTGACCTAAACATTTGGGAATCTGTGGATTAAGGAGAATTCATTGTCTTGACTATGCTTTATTTGCTTTGGATGTTGCTTTTCTTTTCTTTGTAACCATGTGTTGCATTTCTAGTACTGGAAACAAATGGCGCTCCAGGAGAAAACTATTAACACCCACTTTCCATTTTACCATTCTGGAAGAGTTCTTAGATGTCATGAATGAACAAGCCAACATATTGGTTAAAAAGCTTGAAAAACATGTTGACGGAGAAAAATTTAACTGCTTTTTTTACATCACTCTTTGTGCCTTAGATATCATCTGTGGTAAGTCTCATTGATTAGTTTCTAGAGCTACGGTGTAAGCAGAAAATGGCCCAAATAGAAAATAACACTTCACTGGGAAGGCAAATGAGGGGTTAGATAGGATATTGGCTTCTTTGGGGTGGTCCTTCCGCTGAACTGGGCTCCTGAGAAGCAGAGCCAACATGTCAGGAAGGTCAGAGGGAAGAAGGAACAGGAATAGAAGTAGGAGAAAAAAATGTGCAATAGTGAAAGGGAAAGGAACAATTCTAAAACCTATAAGAATTTATCTTATTTTCCAAGTGTTTGCCGCTGGAAATTAAACTCAAGGCATGTGCATGAATTGAACGGTTGTTTCTCACCCATATTTTGCAGAAACAGCTATGGGCAAGAACATTGATGCTCAGACTAATGATGATTCTGAGTATGTCCGTGCAGTTTATAGGTAAACGGAGCCCTTCTAATTATTTTTATAATTGTTATTAATTCAAGTTTTATAAAATATCACTAATAATTTTTCATCTGTGTTGTATCTTTTTATTGTTTCACAATGAAATATTGCATTAAAAATCTGCCTAATCATTAAAGCATGTATTTTAACAGTAGAGGATTTATTGTATAAACTAAACCCATGGTGCATGAAATTCATGCACAGGATGGGGGTCCATTAGCTCAACCCGCATTTTTCTAATCTTAGATCCCTTCGGGGATGTCTGACTGCCGGTTTAGGCTCAATCTCACAGGAATCCCTGGCTCCAAACTGCTCACCTGCCTGCCTGCCTTATTTTCCCTAACCACACTAGGTGGCTGCCTTATATCCCCTAGCAGCCTGCCTGCATGCCTGATCACCCTAACCACCTCTGCCTGGCTGTCTCATGCCTCTAACTGCTCCCCTGCCAACCCAATCGCTCCTAACCCCTCTCCCCTGCTGGCCTGATTGCCCCTAACTGCCTCTGCGTGCTGGCCTGATTGCCCTTAACCCCTCTCTTTTGCCAGCCTGATCACCCCACCCACTCTCTTCTGCTGCCTGATTGCCCCTAACCCCTCTCCCTTGCTGGTCTGATTGCACTCAACCCCTCTCCCCTGCTGGCCTGATCACCCCTAACTACTCTGCCTGCCTGCCTGATGACCCCTAACTGCCTCTGCCTTGGCTGTACCACCTTGGCTTTGTCTGGAAAGACATCCAAAAGGACGTCCAGAAAGACGTATGGAAGATCTGGCCTATCTGGTCTAATTAGCATATTACCATTTTATTAGTATAGATTATGGCACACCCAGGGTATGTTAAAATTTTAAATTATTATTTTATAATAGATTGAGAAATTAAATTTTGATGCTTTGTGATAAAATAAAGATAAAAATATTTAAGCATGATAACCACTACGTATAAAAATTATTCATTAAAAAAACACTTTAGATATTATTCCAGAATGTTAGCTGTGATTATTGTTTTGTGTTGTCTGCTTCTCTTTTTTGTTTGTGTTGTTATTAATTCTCTCTTCCCATATTTTCTGCACTGAGTGTGTATTATTTTTTAATTGAAATAGTCGTATTTACCTTGAAAAGTTGCTGAGATTATTCATCTATTAAAAGGCAGGTTCAGGGTTTGATTTGAGGAATTCTATCTTTTAAGTCCACTGCTCATTTCATTTTAACACATATTAACATATATAATCTACCAGTCATTACCCAAGATACTGACTAGTTTTATAGTGGTCCAAAGAACAGAATAATAGGGAGACAAGCATCAAAACAAATATGTATAACTTATAAACTATAATAATTGCTTACAAAGAAAAAATAAAGTTGACATTCGAGAAGAAAACTGCAATAGGGTCCACAGATTGAGTGACCAGGAAAGGCCACTCTGCAGATTTCGCCTGGAAGCATCTCTCAAAGGAGGAGACCATGTCTAGGTCTTCCTATTCCATCACAGGGAATGTTGCGGGAGGGACTTGGGACAGGGATGTGACAGAAGGCACTTTCCTAGAGAAGAGGACAGGAGTGATCAAGCAAATGTGTGGACATTAAACAGTCAGATTTCATCCCACCCTGTGGTATAAGAGCTACAGGCAGCTTGGGGAGGTCCAGAACTCCTCTGGAGAAATAGAAGGGGAGATCAGATGGCCATCAAATGAGATGTTTTGTAATGGGTTCTTCATTCCTAAAGCAATGTTTCCCAAACTTTTGACATATGTGTACCCCTTCTATATATAATTTCGTAATGCTGAGTACCCCTCATACTTATGAGAACGTAGAATTAGGTGCAGCTAAGCATGGTGCAATGCATATCCCCACCAAACTCCGGTGCAACGCGTACCCCCACCAAACTCTTTCCGTAACCCTGGGGGTACGCGTACCACAGTTTGGGAAACACTGCTCTAGAGGACCCATTTAATTCTTAAGCTTCCTTGTACGTGTAATAACCGATGCCTTCATTGTTGAGCATGAAGCATAGAGCTCTTAGAATTGCTAAGAGGAATGATCATGGTTGCCAAATTCCCTCATTGAGACCAGGCACCAAATAGGTACTCAAGCAATGCACATTTTTGATATATCAGCTGATACATTTGCACTCTTCTTATAGGATGAGTGATTTGACACATCAAAGAATGAAGACGATTTGGTTCTGGCATGACATTTTATACCTTTTGTTTAAAGAAGGAAGGGACCATAAAAGGAACCTAAAGATCGTACATAATTTTACCACCAATGTAAGTCCTCATTTTTGTTGTTGTTTTGGTCATACATAATATAAAATCCTAATATATAAAAACCCTAGGTTGTAACAACCAGTAACAGGAGGCTGACCAACCAGAAGTCAGTTCTGGCACTCCCCTCAAGCAAGCAGTAGGGGTGATCAGGTAGGCAGCCCAGCAGTTAGGGGTGATCAGGTAGGCACAAGGCCCCTCGCCAGGCTGGCCCTGCCCCCAAGCAAGTGTTAGGGGCAATCAAGCAGGCAGGCAGAGTGGTTAGGGGTGATCAGTTAGGCAGATGGCCCCTTGTAGGGCTGGCCCCGCCCCCCAGCAGAGAAAGAGGGAGGTCCAGGCCAGCCAAGCCATTAAACCCTAGACTGTCACCTGCAGAGGGAGCCCACCGGTGGCAGGGGAGACAGGACAACACTGCATAGATGGCAAACAGTGGCAGTGGCAGGGGCGGGGCCAGCTGCCTGCAGCCTGCAGCCTGGGGAAGGAAAATCCTGATAAGCCCTGATCTCAGGCCAGGCCTAGTGACCCTACCGAAGGGGTCCTGGATTGTGAGAGGGTGCAGGCCAGGCTGAGGGACCCCCGAGGGCATGAATTTTCATGCACCAAGCTTCTAGTTTATCACACTAGCCATTTTAAGTGTACCAGTCAGTGGCATTAGGGGCATTAACAATGTTGTGCATCCCCTCCCACTATCACTTTCTAGAACTTTTATAAGTGATGACTCCTATGTTTGTTAACACACCCAGTCATTAATGCTCCCTCATGGGGGAGGTTAGTCTACTGGGGAGGTTGTCTGTAAATAAATAATTACAAAATGTAATTCAGCTATGATAGTTCATTAAGAAACTGGGCGCTATGCTAAGAGAATAAAAGACACGGGAATCTGTGTTATAAGAATCTTCTGGAAAATGTTTGGATTAAGCAATGGTTTTCAAAGACAAAGGACATTTATGGCAGTATCTTGAACTGGAAAAGATAAAAATTAACTAGATATTACTATTTAATTTTTAATGACAAAGAAATAGTAATGTTCTGGATATAGTCTGTCTTTGTGTTAAAAGAATGTTTATGGAAAGGCAAACTAATTGAAAACATGAATTATAAGTTAAATGTCCTGATAAAAGTGCCAACGTAATCATATTTACCCTTTGCTGTAAATTTTAGTTTTCAATATGATGGCATTGCTTCCTGACAATGAGGTTCTGCCTCCACCAACAGATCAAGTGGTAGAGTCCCTAGGTGTTTGATGAATGAGATGTTGGAGTGAGCTGCCCTCAGTGGAGTATAGCATAATTGCCTGGCAGGAGGTGAAAGGTGAACAGTTTGTATTTTATAGGTATAATTACACTTGTCTTCATATTTCGTTCATTAATATCAGTATCAATGATGAATGAATTCCAGATTGGATGGGTAATATCAAAAATTGCATACCGAGTGCCAGGCACTAGGGGTTCCATCAAAAAGCAAAGAGAGGTCATGGTGCTTGCCCTACGGATCTGTTCATTCAAAGCAGAAGCAAGTTTGGACAATTGCCTGAAAAGAGGAGAAAGTTGAAATGTGTAACCAAATTAAGCTCAGGGGCTTCCAACTTTTACTCATTCATCACATACCTGATGGACATTTCTAAAATGCCAAGCAGTGCTCTAAAGGTTGGAAATATATGAATGAATAAAGACAAATTTGCTGCTACACTGCAGTTGGAGGATAAAGTCACTAAATAACAATACAATGCCAGGTGGTAAGTGAAATGGAAAAAAAGGTAAAGCAGGCATAGGAAGAGAGTGAGTGCCAGGGATTAGGGTACAGTGACCCTGACAGTGTGACAATGGGCAACGGAAATCTCAAACTAAAGAGGAAGCTAGCCATGCTGGCTTCTGAGGCAAGAGCATTCCAGGCAGAAGGAGTGGAAAACATACAGGGTGATGCTTTTCACCAATACAACACATAATTAGAGTGATCTATATTTAGTCTGTTATACAATGATTGTGTTTACTCCACCACCCAGCTTTTTCTCATGGGCTCTTTCAACTCACTGGGGCCCTATTCAGGAGACTACTACTCTTTTCCCATGTTGGAAAGGCTGCAAAATAGTCCTTGGAAATGATGTGTTTGCCTGACATTAAATTTGTTTATAAAAATCTTATCAAATAATGCCCTAAAAATGTTCACAGAAAGCTGTACTATATTTTCACCAAAACCTAAGTTTCTGTTGACTGAGACAGAACAGCAAAGGCTTAGAAAAAAATCAGTTAAAGAAGTTGGTATGTCTTCACAGGAAAATGGACTCTTAGGCCATATCAAATTCCACACAAAAGCATATGATCATTTAAATCAAACAGGTCATCAATGAACGGGCCAATGAAATAAAGAGAGAAGAAGAACGTACAAGTGGTGACAAGGGCAAGACCCCCTCCAACAGAAAACGCAAGGCTTTTCTCGACCTGCTCTTAAATGTGGTGGATGATGAAGGGAACAAGCTAAGCCATGAGTCCATTCGAGAAGAAGTGGACACCTTCATGTTTGAGGTATTTTGCATTGTCATGTTTGTCTCAGGTATCCTCATTAAACAAATTACTGTTTCTATTACATAATAAGAAAATGGTTTGTTTTTTTAATCTTGGGAATTGCAAATGCTAAGGATGAAGAAATAGCACTAATACTTAGAGTTGGGTAAGTATTTAATAGTAGAAATAAAAATAGTAAGATATTTATAGCCACCTTTTAAAATATGTTGGGATCCTTGGTATAAGGGATGATCTGTTCTCAGTTTACTAAGATTTTTAACTTAAAAAATAATCAATTTATAGGAATTCTTTAAAGAATCTTTAGCATTTTTTAAAGGTCTGATCACATTTTGAAGTAGCTTGTTATAAAGGATGAAGAGTCATTATATTGTAGTTATCAGATCACCTTTCTTCTTCAGAAAGATCGGTAGCCTTGTGTGGCTTTTTCTTCCCAACATTAGGAAAGTTTTCTGTCATTGTTTCTTCAAACAGGTTTTCTATTCCTTGCTTCGCTTCCTCTCCTTTTGGAACCCCTATTATGAGGATGTTGTGTTTTGTTTTTGTTTTTTTAATATGTTTTATTGATTTTTTTATAGAGAGGAAGGGAGAGGGACAGAGAGTTACAAACATCGATGAGAGAGAATCATCGATCAGCTGCTGTAGGACTCTCTTTCACAGCCCGCTTGGAAAGAGTTCCAATTCAGGGTTCAGGTTCTGGAGAAGGCCCGCACACAAATTAAGAGACTTGAGACTTGAAGAAATTCAACTTGGCGATATGGGGGGCCAGGTGGTAGTCCAACTCTAGTAGGAGAACTCCTCCTGCTCTGGCCCTGCCATCCCTTTTATTAAGGTTTTGGGGAAAACATCTTAGGCAACATAAACAGAAATTTACATGTAGCTCTTAGGCAGGAAATAACAGAAACTTACATGGGACAAACAAGGTGGAGGCTGCTTCAGCTAACAATGTCTCAACTAAAGGGTGAGTGGTTAGAGCAATTAAGTTGTTGACCAGCCTTCCTGGCTTCTTGTCAACATCTCTTTTAGTGAAACTGATTTGTTTCCAGCAAGCTGCCTCTTGCATACCCCCTACTGGGGATGTGCCCACAACCAAGGTACATGCCCTTGACTGGAATCGAACTTGGGACCTTTCAGTCCACAGGCTGACACTCTATCCACTGAGCCAAAAAAACAGTTTCAGCAAGGATGTTGTTTTTTTCTTGATCTCCTAAAGCTCCTTTAGGCTTTCCTCCTGCTTTATAAGTTTTCTTTCCAGTTGCTGCTGCATGTGTGTGTTTTTTCCTAGCTTGTCTTCTAATTCACTGATGCGGTCCTCAGTTTCTTCTAGTCTGCTGTTGAAGCCTTCCATTATGTTCTTTATCGCAGGTTGGTCATTTTTCATTTCCTCTTGATTCCTTTTCATGTTGGTGACTTCTTATTCAACTTCTGATAATTCTCATTGAGTTATGTGTATTTGCCTTCCAAATGTTTTAACATCCTTATAACCATTACTCTGAATTTTTCCTCTGACAAGTTACTTGCCTCCATCTCATTTAATTCCCTTTCTAGTGATTTCTTTTTTCCTCTTCTGCGGTGATTGCTTTTATGTCTCCCCAGTTTTTGCTGTAATGTTATAATTGTTTCTATTTCTTAGATCCAACTGCTTTGCTACCTACTTAGGTTTTTTTGGGGGGTGGTGCTATGCAGTTAGTAATTTTTGGGACCCAGGGGTGCAGTCTCTCAGATCTTCCGGGCCTGGTGATCTAGTGGAGCCTCCTACTTGAGCTATTTGTGTTCTCTTGAAAGTTAGTTTCTTAATCTGTGAAATCTTGTCACAGATTGGCAATGTGACTTGCCCCAAGCTTAATTGTGCAAGCTGTTATGGTAATCCTTGTTCCAGCTCTTGTTGAAAAGGTTGCCTGAGGTCTCACTGATATATGCTCACTGTGAGTTCCCAGACTTCATGGGCTTGGCAGAAAAGGGTCTCAGGGCCTGAGGCTCAGGTACTATGACTTTGGCTGGTGTTGTGTGACTCTTGGTTGGGTAGTGTCACTCTTAAACTCATATGAGGGTCCCAGAACCCGTGTGGGGGGCAGGAGGGGGAGTAGCTGTCCCATAGTCTGCCTTTGAGGCAGTAGAACTCTGGCCAAGGTGATTTTCCTCTCTGAATCACAAGGAGGTTCAGGAACCAGTAGCTGGGGTCGTGGGAATCTCAGAGTATGTGGCTGAAACCATGTGTCCTTGTCTGGGAAGGCAGGTCCTCCATAACTCACCAAGGTATCCAGAGGTAGGCAGCTGTGAGAGGGATGTCATGGGTCCTGTTAACGGAGCTGGGCCCCATGGAGCTCACAGAAGGGCCCAGGAGCCATCTGCTGGGGCTGTGTGCTCATGGTGCCCACAAGCTGGAGCTGCACAAACATGGTCTGCCACTGACCAGGGAAGGGAGAAGTCCCAGTTTCTGCTTCGGGAGCTGTGTGCCCTTGGTTGGATACACACATCCAGAGGTGGCTTACAGAGGCACCCAGGAGCTATCTGCTGGGGCTGTGGAATCAAGGGTGTGTGTGCTGGAGCATCGCTACCATGTCTTGCTGTGGCTCAGAGAGGCACCCGGAAGTTGCCTGTTGGGGCAATGGCTCAGAGGGCCTGTGCACTGGATCCATGCCACTGAGGTGACCTGAGCTCAGCAGTCAAACAGGGGGAAGTCTGAGTTTCTGCAGCCGGAGTCTTCTGTCATTGGTTTGATACAAGTGTGCCCAGCGGCTGCTCACAGAGACACCTGGGAGACACCTGCTTGGGGGTGAACTCAGGATCTGTGTGCTGAAACCACGTGACCTCGGTGTCTGTGGGCAGGCAGCTGGGAATGGAGAAGTCTGAGGTTCTACTGCTGGGCTGTGTGCCCTTGTTTGGATACCTGTGCACCCAGCAGTGACTCAGAGGCACCAGAGAGCCCTCTGCCAGGGCCGTGGATCAAGGAGTCTGTGCACTGGATCAGTGTGACTGTGGTGTCTGGAGGTCCACAGCCAGGGAGGGGCAAGTCCACTTACTGCTGCGGGAGCCGTGCTTCCTTGGAGGCAGATGTCCTAGGGTCTGCAGGTCTGCGGGTGAGGCAGCAGACCTTTGGCTGGTGTGGCTGCAGGGTCACAGTGTCCGAGGCCAGTCTGGGTTGTGGTGCTGAGTTCCTAGGGGAGGCCGCTCTCTCTCTCTCAAGAAGGCGGGGGCTCCCTGCTCCATCCCCACAACCCGGGGAGTGCCCACAGCAGTGGTAGGAGCTCCCTGTCCAGGAGAGCCTGGTCTGCCAGCCTCTGGTTCTCCTGCCGGATTTGACTATCCCTCACTCATTCACACACATGCTACCCACGTCCACACACTCTCCTGTCACTTACTTACTCACTCACACCCTCTCCCACACCTCTGTCCTGCCAGCCACCATCATCCCAGCTCCTTGTAGTAGAGAAATTAACCAGTTCGTGATTCTAAAAAGATTTCTGGTTTTGATATTTAAAAAAAGACACATTTTAAAAATATATAGTTTTTTTGTGTGTTTTTTTTGTTTTTTGTTTTTTTTTTTTTGTTTGTTTTTTTGTTTTTTTTTAATGGAGAGAAAGGGATAGGGAGAGATAGAACATCAATGATCGGAGAGAATCACTGATTGGCTGCCTTCTGCATGTGCCCAGACCAGGAACTGAACCGTAACCTCCCGATTCATACGCCAACACTCAACCACTGAGCCACAACTGCTGGGCAAAAAGGCAATTTTTTGGCAAAAAATTTTTTTTAACTACATTAAATATTATAAAGAGAAAACCTCTTAACATGTGGCATACAAAATAAAGATTAAGAAAAGGTGTTAAGAGGCAGCATGCGGAATATCCTGGAGGTGGAGGAAAGGGAAGGCCTTCAGTTTTCGATGGCGGAGTGCATGCACTGTGCCTGCTCTGCCTGCAGCCGCCTGGGTGTGCGACTCTCCCCAGGAGGAAGGCTCTGCGGAGGAAGAAAGCGGTGTGAAGGGTCCACAGATCTGACTGCTCTCAGGTCTGTGCTGACCGGTCATAGAGGCAGGCCCAGTCATTGCAGACCTCTGCCTAGTCCCCTGTTTGGAAAGGGGAAAAATGGGTGGTTTCAAACTTCTATTCTAAGCAGATAACTTTATTGAGAAGGAACAGTATGCAGAAAATGGACATGTAATTCATTGAAAAGTGGGCTGTGAGGCCAAATCCCAGCTCTGACCTATACTAGAAGTGTGACCTCAGCACCTCCTCTCCCTTTCGGGGCCTCTGTGTCCTCGTTGTTATAGCACGGGCCACACAGAACAGCCCTGAGGACTAGGGTAGGGGTGTCGAACTCAATCAGAGAAGGGGCCAAAATCTAAAATCCAGCCTAAATCGCGGGCCGAATGGTTTACTGAACAGTCATAAACTGTCATTGTGATGGAAACGCAGCGGAGTGCAGTGATGACAGCGCGGTGCTGGCCACATTGCAAGGCCTGGCGGGACGGATTTGGCCCGCGGGCCTTGTGTTTGACACATGTGGACTAGGGGAATCCTTTTCACATTCTTGTGTAACAGATATTGGCTGGTATCTGGTGCTGAAGTGTTCCCTGCCCCCATACATGCATCCACACACTCACACCTGCACTTACACACACACTCACACCTGCACATACACACACACTCATACCTGCACATACACATCATCTCCCACCAGTACCTCTCACTTCCACAAGAACAACCAGACTAACAATCTCTTTCTTACAGCTCTAACATTCTTTGAATTCTAATTTTTTCCTTATTTCCACGAAATAGTGGGCGTGGCGTGTACAACTACAGTATTGTGACCTCCTCCAAAGATGACGCAGGCTGTTGCTGCCAGGTCTTTCCTTTTTTTTTTTTTTAATTTAATTTTATTTATTTTTAAAATCTTTATTGTTCAAAGTATTATATTTGTCCCCGCCCCCGCCACTGACCCCCTTATAGCCTGCCCCTGCCCCTCACTCCAGCCTTCACCCTCCTATTGTCTGTGTCCATAGGTTATGCATATGTACATATGAGTTCTTTGGTTGATCTCTTCCCACCCACTCACACATCCACCCCTTCCTTCCCTCTGAGATGGAACAATCCGTTCCTTGCTTCTATGTCTATGCCAGGCCCTTTATGCTCCTGGTCTGGCGGATTCTTGCCCTGCGCAGTTCCGCCAATGCACTTGTTGGCTCTGTGCTTTGTGTTTGCTGCCTTTGAGTCGCAGACAAAAATAAAAAGGAAGTTCATTTTCAAATTCAGGAGAAGTTATTAAAATTGTTTAGCAAGAGCACTTCCTCTATGATTTGTTAAGCAACTGAATGACATGGGCCAGCTTTTGTTTGGAGTTCAGACCCATTTCTGTAAAGAAATTGCAAGTGTGAGAAAATAACAATCCTATCAACATCAGAGACTTCTAAACATATTTTTTAAAATTTCAGAAAAGTCCTTAACAAATCAACTGAGGACCTAAAACAAGTGCTTCAAAAACTTCTGCCCAGGAAATGAAATATTACAATGGTCACTTGTGTTGCATAGGGTAAATGGACCAGTAAGAGTTACAATATTATTTTTTTATTTTTCAAATACATTTTTTTTTTTCTCTGAAGAACTTACCATTTTGCATGTGGAGTGTCCTGGTGAAATGAGGACAGGAAATGAGAGGCTGATGCCTAAAGACATTTAAGGGACAGAGAGTAAGGTCATCCAGTGTTGGTGTTGCGAGGGTTCAGGAAGCCCTAATTCAGGTGGCCATCGATGCCGGGGTTCTTGTCCCAGCATTACAAAGAGTTCAACAATCTGGAGAAAGGCTATGCATAGATCAAGCAGGAGTCCAAAGATGAAAGATAGTTTTGAAAGGCATTAGGGATCAGAGGAGCTTCAGCTAAGCACATGTGTCAAACACAAGGCCCGCGGGCCAAATCCGTCCCGCCAGGCCTTGCAATGTGGCCAGCACCGCGCTGTCATCACTGCACTCCGCTGCGTTTCCATCACAATGACAGTTTATGACTGTTCAGTAAACCATTCGGCCCGCGATTTAGGCTGGATTTTAGATTTTGGCCCCTTCCCTGATTGAGTTCGACACCCCTAAGCTAAAGGTACTAAAGACTCCGCTTGACTCAGGACTCATGCAGTTTATTAACACAATTTGTCCTAAGGCAAGGTGGAGATAATACACTTCAAAGGGTAGGGTACAAAAGCATTGTCAGATTGGGGAATAGCCTATAGCTGTTCAGTTCTTTGCTAAACAGGAGGCAATAACATGTAGATTAAGATGCCCCGAGCTGTCTGGCAACGGTGATCCTATGCAGGTTTTGGGAGATGCTTTATAGCTGTTCCAACATATGTGATTACATGTGACTCAACCCTTGTTGAGCCCCCAAGCTCATCAACCTTTTGATGAAACTCTCGTAATTATGACAGGCTGGAATTGGCTCCTGGCAGTCAAGGTGTCACCATCAGTATTGGAGCTGGAGTCTCCTCACCCCACATCCTTCACACTTCTCGAGGTGAAGAGTGTGGAGAGGGTTCTATTTTTGCCTCCACCTCTTATGAAGCAGTCTGGCCAGGGAAAGCCATTTAGCATTTTTTTTGAGGGATCTCAGTTTGTGATCTCTAAAATGGGAATAGCAGTATCATGTATCCCATTGAAATTTTTTAAAAATATATTTTATTGATTTTACACAGAGAGGAATTGAGAGGGACAGAGAGTTAGAAACGTCGATGAGAAAGAAACATTGACCAGCTGCCTCCAGCATACCCCCCACTGGGGATGTGCCCACAACCAAGGCACATGCCCGTGACCGGAATCGAACCCCCACTTCAGTCCGCAGGCCGACGCTCTATCCACTGAGCCAAACCTGTCCAGGCCCAATAGAAATTTTTTTTTTAAATAAGTATTTTTATTGATTTCAGGGAAATATACTTTTATTGAAGGGAGAAAAAGAGAAAGAATCATCAATTATATCTCAATTATAATCATTAATTGGCTGCCTCTTGCATGCCCCCTACTGGTCTTTAAGCCCACAACCCAAGCATGTTTCCTGACCAGGAATCGAACCATGACCTTTTGGTTCATTGGTGGATGCTTAAGCACTGAGCCACATCAGATGGGCTCCCATAGGTTTTTTTTGTGAAGAATAATTGAGTTTGTTTCTGCAAAATGTTTGGTATTTTGCCTCAAACTCAGCAAGGTTTAAGTGGGGCTACTTAACAACTTCTTGATGAGGAGACCAACTCAGAACCACCCATGTGTTCCCTGATAAAGCCGATTGTAAAAATGGAGGGAAGTGCAGAAATACAGATCTGGCCACTTGGCTCAGGAAAGTCACACTTTTCTTTCCGCAAAAACAGTCCGGCACACGGAGTTCCCTTGAAATGCCTTCTGTTAGCCCAGCCCATACTCTCACCAAGTATGTGACTCTGTCCTATTGAAATGTCCCTGTACCAGAGGCGTCTTCTTTGAAGGGATTGTTTCATTGGTTTGTTCCCCACTGAGGTAAAATACTGTAAGAAATTAACTTGTTCTGTCTGGGGTCATGTCACAGCTGTCAAATCCAGAGACAATTCAAAATAGAGCTAGCATCCCTAACCTTCCCAACAGAACTCTGCTTTCTAAGCTGTTTTTTCCCCCCTCTTACATTGTAGGGCCATGACACAACTGCAGCTGGAATAAACTGGGCCTTGTACCTATTGGGTTGCTATCCAGAAGTCCAGAAAAAAGTGGGCAATGAACTGGACGAAGTGTTTGGTATGTATGGCCCCTTCACTACTTACAAAGAAGGTCCCAAGTCACTGAAGAAAATGGCAATCTCACTCATTAAGAAAGTGCAGTCGGGCCTGATATAAAGACACTGTAATAAGCAGGAAGGCTGCCATGTGGGACCCCTTCCAGGCCTGATGTCCTTTCCAAGCCTTACCCATTTGTTTACGGGCGCTTGCTGATTGCTTGGCGTGTGACTGCACCAGGGTAGATACTGGGGCTACACAGACAAATGTCACTATTCTCAAGGACCTTGCTGCTTCATTGGAGAAATAGTCACTGTGTATAAAGTATTAAGTCATGGCTGTGTGCTTGGGTGATATGAGGAAGGGGCTAGTGGAGAGCAGAGCGGAGAGGTGAAGCTGGTTAGTGGGGTCCAGGAGAGCTGTTCCATATGGGATTGCTGTGGGTTAAGCTGATGGGACATTAATTGTTTTGCACAACCAGTAACTTGTAGGTAAGGAGTCCTAGGCTGATGCCACCAGGGATGTTGTGAGAATCCCGGGCTTGCTCTTTTCTCTCTGTCATTTTCATCATCATGGATGTTGTATTCTTGATCGTTGTTCTGGATCTCATGTTTGTCTTTAAGGCATGAAGACAGCGGAAGAGGGGGATGAAGGATAATAGTCTCCTTTGACTGCTGTCACAGATACTGCAAACTAGGTGGCTTAACACAATAGAAGTTTATTTTCTTACGGTTCTGGACACCTGAAGGCCCAGATCAGTATCTCTGAGTTAAATCAATGTGTTGGCAGGGCTGCACTTTTTGGAAGCCTGAGGGGAGAATGAATTTCTTTTGGTGACTGTCAACATACCTTAGCTTATGGCCACATCATTCAAATCTCTGTCTCCATCTTCACATGACCTTCTCTTCTGTGGGTATATGTCAAATCTCCCTCTGCTCTCTCTTATCATGACATTTGTGATGGCATTCATGGTCCACCTGGATAATCATGATCATTTTTCCATTTTAAGATCCTTCATAAAATATTCAATAGCACCTTCCCTCCCCCAAAAAAGTAACATTTAAAGGAAAAGGTTGGTTGGCCAACCAACACAGTGGTATCTGATGGGTTTTCCTAGTGCAAAGTGGGGAGGAATAATAAAGGAGAAGAGGAGGAGGTGGAAGGCATTCTGGGAAGAGAGGCTCCTGGTGCACAATGGCAGAGTGGAAAAGTTGGCAGATAATAGTAAGCATTAAAGGACAGGTGGAATTCAGAACATTTGTTAGAACCATTAAGAGGTGAAGTTGGAAAAGTAGTTTCATGTCCAGATGGTGTGAGGACTGGATTTTCATATCAAGAGGGAAGACTGTGTTTTGTAGAATGGAGATGATCTAAACTCCTGGGCTCTGTTTCTGTCATTTCATTTTTCCCGTTTCAAGTTAAATTTCTCTCAGATTGCCTCTGGTGGGTAAATTGGGTATTCTAGAGACCCGGATTCTTTTGTAATGTGTCTCCACATTTGTGATTTTTACAATTTCTAGCCCAATTCTGGTGTCACAAATGGTTTTGGATCTCACGAAATTGACACCATTTTTACTAGGATTTTTATTCTGCTGGTTCTCATGCTTTTTGCTAATTGTGCCTCACTTCTCTTCTATCCCCAGTATTAGTTTTAAAATTTCTTTGAGCAACTGATCTTTGGATATTGAGATGTAAGTATTCATTCCTCTTTTTTCTTTTTTTCACTGAGGTACGCTTCACATTTAGTTTCATTATAATAAAGCAACTGGTACACTTTTAATGTTTAATTGATCATTATCTTTTCTTTCCAGTAAAACAAACAAAATATTTTAAATAAACGGGAACAAGATTACAATAGTGAAAGACGGTTCCCAATAAGATTCTGTAGGTCTGCTCTTCTCTCATTGAGTGGCAGGGCCCAGGCCATCATTAGGAGATAATTTTATTTTAAAAGTATCATCTTAAACTGCATGGAAGTCCAGTAACATCACAACTAAACATACCAAAGGGCAAGCCTTGCTGTCAAAATACCCACTTAACCAACCCAAACATCTCATATCTTCCCTTTGACCTTCTTTAAACCCAAATTTATTTTTTAGTTTCAAAAAATGTTCCATACATGAGGAAGTAGACAGGTGTATGTTGGTAAATGCTAACTGTCCCCCTTCACACACAGAGACACAGTGTAATCTGTGTGCTCAATGTACAAAGAAAGGAGGGGGAAAGCTAGAATTCTGTGCACTGATGCGGGGGGCTGAGCCTCTAGCCTCCAGCGGAGCAATGTAAGCAGAAGGTTTTTCTTTCCCATGGAGCACAGGGGCATTGATTCCATAAAGTGTTTGTTGAGTCAGGAAGGGACAAAAGTGAATTTGGACTTGTATGCACGCATATACGCCTAATCAATGGAAACGGACACCAGGTGGGTGAGGGCGTGAAAGAAGGGATATGAATGCAATGGGGGAATAAGGACACATATGTAATACCTTAATCAATAAAGAAAAATAAATAAATAAAACTCAATGGAAAAAAATACTTTTAAAAGTTTAAAAAAAAAGTAAATTTGGAACAGACAGTGTTAGAGATTCTTTTCCCCTTCAGCTCAAGGTATTTCCCCCAAGTAAGTTGAGAACCAGGATGTAAGGGAGAGAAAAGACTTCAAGAGCACAATGACTGAGCCTATAAGTAAAACAAAACAAAACAAGAAAACCAGGTTGTAACTTGCTCCCTGTGATGGAGGAAACTTTTAAAAAGAAGGTTGGAGTCCATCAGTGTTCCTTAGTCATCTTCTCCTTCATCCTTATCAACTTCTTCATTGGTAGCTTTCAATCCTCTCTCTCTCCCCCTCCATCATCATCTTCTTCTCTTCTCCTTCCCCTTCTTCATCTTCATATCAGGAAGCAAGTAGTAATGAATTGGATTTTGGCAAACACCACCTTGGAAGATCTCTCCACCTTATCTGCACCTGCATCAGAGTGGCCATAAACCACATTTTTGGTTCTCAGCCTCTTCCTGCTGGCTTTATCCTGCTGTGGGTTTGAATATTTCATCAAATCCTTTCCAGATATTTCAGTGGACTTTGAAAATGCATCATGGCTTGCACTCAGATGAAATTCTTTGGGTGCACTTATTTTCCAAGGAAGGGTTTTCATCAAAATGAAAAGCTGTTCTGTGACCTGATTTATTACTTTTCAATTCTATCACTTCAACTCTGGTTAAATAACGCAGTGCCTTTTCATCCATCTCCCCAAACAATGCAGGCATAGAGATGGGTGCAAATGTTGTTACTTGAAAAATTGGGATTTGGACATAAATTCCTACCTCTTCTAACAAACAATGGTTGGCAGAATTTGTTATATGTTGATCTTCAGAATTTTCTCACTGGCTTTTTCACTACATTGTTCAATCTCATTTTTGTCTTTCTCAATATTTCCAGTTGCTTCCTGCTGTGTTTTTTCTCCCATTGGCAAGACCAAGAAGCCATTTGGATTTCTTCTTGAGGTGGAAATGGGGGGGCCAGGCTATGGGGAGAATCCAAGAATCTGACCCACGAGAAGATACACTTCTGGAGGAGGCTCTGAGAATTCAAAATTAAATGTTTTAAAGTTATAGTTTCATGGATTCACAATGTTATGCACCTGTCACCTCTATCTAATACTAACCCATTTCAGCAGCCAAAGGGAAACCCTGCATCATTAATCGGCCACTCCCCATGTTCTCTTCCTCCAGGCCCTGCAACACCTATTTATACTCTGTCTTTATGGATTTGTCTACTCTTGAGTACTTCCTCCAAATTTAATGATTTAACATGTGACCTTTTGTATCTTTTTTAAAAAACTTTATTTAGCATTATTTTCTCATTTTATTTTGATTATACTAGTAAGAATTTTACTTTAAGTGTTGGTATTTCGCATTCAGTGTATTAATGTTATAATATATTCTTTTTTGATGTCTTATTTGCAAAGCCCAAATTGTTCTTTCACTTATTTTATTTCATGTATTTACTTTGACCAGGGAATTCTGATCGCCCTGTTACCTTAGAAGACCTGAAGAAACTTAAATATCTGGAGTGCGTTATTAAGGAGACCCTTCGTGTTTTTCCTTCTGTGCCTATAATTGCCCGTGAACTTAATGAAGATTGTGATGTTGGTGAGAATTCTTCCATGAAAGTAGTGGGGAGGGTGGACTTTTCTGTGTGTGTGTCTCTGTTCTCATGACATATCAACTGCCTCATGACAGGGGGGTACATCCTCACGAAAGGCTCTCAACTACTCATCATTCCCTATGCACTGCATAGAGACCCAAGATACTTCCCAGACCCTGAGGAGTTCAAGCCAGAGCGGTTCTTTCCAGAGAATTCGACGGGACGCCATCCATATGCATATGTGCCCTTCTCTGCTGGACCCAGAAACTGTATAGGTTTGTATCCATCAGAATCGTTTGACCTTTAGGAAAGGGGTTTCTCACAATAATGTCTTTGAGATGTAGTGTCTCAGATCCAAGTCTGTTAAAATATTGGTTGTTTTATTTTTTTCTCCAGTTTACTATGACTGTCATAAAGTATATAAGTTTTCTAGGGCTGCTGTAACAAAGCACCACAGACTGGGTCGCTTAAATGACAGCATTTCATTTTCTCACAGTTCTGGAGGCCAGAAGTCCAAGATCAAGGTGTCTGCAGGGCTGGTTTCTTCTGAGGCCTCTCTCCTTGGCTTATAGATAGATGTCTTTTCCTTGTGTCTTCACATAGTTTATTCTTCTCTGTGTATGGGGGTGCGCAATGTTTCTAGTTAATTCCACTCAAGGATATGTTTTTATTGATTTTTAGAGAGAGAAGGAAACATTGATGTGAAAAAAATATTGATTGGTTGCCTCCCATACATGCCCCAACCAGGAATCTAACCCACAACCTAGGTGTATGCCTGATGGAATTGAACTTACAAGCTTATGGAGAATGCGATGACTTATCAACCAACTGAGCCACCCTGCCAGGGCTTGATCTCCTCTTTTTATAAAAACACCAGTCAGCTTGGATTAGGACCCATCTATAAGACCTCACTTTATTTTACTCACCTCTTTAAGGACCTTATCCCCAAATGCAGTCACATTCTGAGGTACTGAGGGTTATGAATTCATCCTATGAATTTTAGGGGAATAGCATTCAACCCACAACATAAAGCATAACCAGTTTCATGGTAGAGTTTTAAAATGTAGATTTTGGATTGAAGTGGAATTTACATTATATTATAGAAAGCGTATTTATAACAATTAGTTTGTTTACCTGCTTTTATTGCTTTTAAGAATTGCTTTTTTCAAAACCAAAAAAGAGAATGCTCACTATAGGACCAGCAGAAGTATGTAAACAAAATGATTGCACGCCTCCATGTATTAGAAACACTTTTATATCTCTGGCATTTTATTGTTTATGTAAATGCAGGCATTGGTGCAATGAGGCCTGGTAACTGTATAGTAAACTACATGAAAGGTCCGGGAGGAGAGCATTCTAGAGCAATGGTTCTCATGCTTCAGTGAGTCAGGATTCATCTGGGTGCTGCGTGGGCTAGATCCCTTGTCCCAGAGCTGTTCAGATGCCCTGGGTGGGAGCAGGGAAGGGCACTCAAGAATCTTTATTATTAGGAAGCATCCTGAGTGGTACTGGTTCGCCCAGGGCCTACTGTGAAAATCTAGCATCACTTGCTTCCTCTGATAGAACCTGTTCTTTCTCCCATTTGGGATAGATCTGTAATAAATTCATGTTATTTACATTGATTTGAAGGTCAGAGGTTTGCCATGATGGAAGAAAAGGTCATTCTTTCATGCATCCTGAGGCATTTTTGGGTCGAATCCACCCAGAAAAGAGAAGAACTTGGTCTGGCAGGAGAGCTGATTCTTCGTCCTACTACTGGCATCTGGATCAAGTTGAAGAGGAGAAACGCAGATGCATCCTAACTGTATTATTGGGCTGTTCCTTAGTCAGAATAAGGTCTTTCTTTAAGAGAAACTTTGCATTTACAATGTGTAGATTATGATTTTAATAATCTGAATCCTACACCTATTTTTTTTCTTATCCCCCCTTACTTTGGGGTCAAGTCTACCAAAGAGAGAGTTTTTATATTTTCATCACCACCATTTCCTTACCCTTGGTCTTGATCCCAAAAGGTGAGTTAACTGATGTCCATACCCAAATAAACATATACATTTCCCAACAGAGGGACCCATAGGCCAAGTCAATTTCAATCAACAGACCCAAAGGATATAAGTTAGTTGAGATTCTAGAACTTTTTAAGTTTTTCTTGTTGAACTCAAATATACTTACGTATATATACATTTTATTTGAAAAAGTAATTAAATACTCAGGCTTGAGTTTAGTAGGTTTTAAAAATTATATTAGGTTTTAATATTTATGATGATGATACTTTTCAGATTTTATCAAGGAGAGCAGATCATTTATAAGTTAACTCTTAGTTTCTGTTCCTATTTCCTTTTTAACCATGTTCTTATGGCCTTCATTTCATTTCATTCTACATAACCTCACAATTACCTTTTCACATCATGTATTATCAGGTAAGATTCCTCTTGGTGATCCCCAGTTCCTCATAATGGCTTTTGGAATTGGCAGCACCTTAGCCTTTTATCAGTTTATTCTACTTTTCATTCCAAGGGGATAAGTAAGTTTCTATCCAAAGTCATAACACTAGTGTGTGACAGGGCTGGGAGTCGATAGAAGTCTAAACTCTCAATCTCTACTACAATATTCTATTACTTTATGAAACTCAAGTCTATAATTGTATATATCATTAGAACACAGATCTTCTAGAATTCTCCTATCATTAAGGAGAAGAGAAGTCGCACATGTATAGTAATCCAGCACATAGTTTAGGGTTAAACTTCCGGGAAATTCAATCCTCCCGAACATACCTGTCAAGCTGATAATTGACAGAAATTCCTTGAATTTTAATTCCATTGACAATATCTCTAGTCCCTCACTCAGTGACTAAAAAAAATTATTTTGATAAATAATTTTAATGAGATGTTTCTGTTTCTAAATTGATTTTTGAGTAGGAGGAATGGGGAGAGAGAGAAACACATTGATATTGTGAGAGAGATACCTTGATCCATTGCTTCCCATTCACCTCCTGACTAGGAATTGAACTCACACCTAGGTATGTGCCCTGAATGGGAGTCAAACTTGTTATCTTCTAGTGCATGGGACAGAGATTATTTCTTCAGTTTTCTCAAGGCAATAGCAGATAGAAACAACAAACTAAGAGAATGGAATATATATTCTTTAATAATTATCAAAGGAAGAGTTGACCCAACCAAAGCCTTCAGGCAAGCATTATGGGCTTTGTCATTCAGGGCAGGGTCAACAGCTCTATGCACTTTACCATCCCAAAGACCCTCAGTGCAGACAAGTTGGTCCATATGTTGCTGGGGAAAAGTCAAGGAAGTAAATGATGCATTTGAAAATGATTTCCAAGATATTGCAAACTTTGTTATGTAGAAAATTTGTTTCCAGGTGATTTTGGATTATTGAAGTTTTAATCTTGGAAATTGGTATTATTTCTAAATTTCATGCTCTTACATTTTAAACCTTGCCTGAGCAAGTATGTCATGGTCTGCAGTATCAACATGAAGAAGCTGACTTTTTTTTTTTTTAATAAGATGATCAAATATCTGTTTGTGTCCTTATTACCTATCATGCTGTGCTTGAATGAGGTATCTTAAGAGTAATAAACTACATTTTAGATATGGGTGCTACATTTTATTCTATGATGTGATGTTAGTTTGAAATGTAGATAACTTTATAAAATAAATTAGTGTGTAACTGCTTTATTATAATCATAATAAAGAGCTAATATGCTAATGGTCAGGAGGCAGAACACATAATGACTGTGTAATGATGGAGGCTGCCTGCATGTGCTTGGCGGGGTGTTGCTCCAGAGTCAGGTCGGAAGTGAGGTGGCACCCGGAAGAGGCGTGACCATCTGTGCCAGGGAGGGTGAGGTGAGAGCCCATAGTGCCCCTCTCACCAGCCCTTCGCCACCCACCGCTGGCACTCGGAGTGCCCCGCTGCCCACCTGCCAGGGGAAGGAGCACAGCCCAGGCATTGCTCCTGAGATAGGGCGGAGGCTGGGAGGGGCCTAGAAAAGGTGGGACCAGCCCAAGGAGACTCAAGGGACTAAGGGCGGGGCTTGAAGCGGCCAGAGAAGGCCAGATTGGACCAAGTGCACTGGAGCTCTGGGTGAAAAGGTTCGGGTGTCAAGGCAGGGCAGCAGGTGGGTGGGCCGGGCCATGCAATTTCACATGCTGGGCTCCTAGTCAGTAAGAAAAAAAATGGCACCTTTGAGGTAATGTCCTCAGTGTCATTCAGACTCCCTTACAAAATGATTCCTGTGCAATTATCATAGGCTGACCTTGAGTTTCCCTGACCCTGAAAAATAAGTGGAAAGAACAACATTTGTTTAACAGAAAGGAGAAATTGAAATATCTTACGATTATCTGGGAATCAGCAAAAACCTCAACCATCCACCTGGTACCCAGGGATTTATCATCTAGAAATCTCTCCAGGTGATGGACTATTGAATTGATGGTCTGTTCATTGTCACAGGCAGCTGTGGAACATCAGTTTCTGGACCAACTACTGACCTGTCTTACAAATAAAGAGATTCTTGGACTATATCTAGAAGATAAAAATGTATTTCTAGCCCCTCATTATGTGTGTGTGTTATAAGTTGTTAACAACCCCATGAATGAGTGATGTTCACAATATCATGTTCTCAACTGCCCTGCTCAGCCCTTGTAGAGTCCTACCTACAGCTTCTTTTATGGACTCAATCCATCTCATATTTGATCTTCCTCTTTCCTGCTGCCTTCTATTTTCCCCAGCATTATTATCTCTTCAAAGTAACTGCCTGCTCATGATGTGCCTGAAGTAAGACAGCTTCAGTTTTGCCTTTTTTTTTTTTTTTTTTTTAACCTCCAGTGATGTTTCAGGCTTAACATGCTCTTGGATCTACTTGTTCATCTTTCAGGAAGTCCAGGGTATCTACCGTACTTCAAATAAGACAATCATGTCTAAACACTATGACAATTTTTCTTTTGAAGAAAAGAAAGCATTAGCATCAGGTTTCTATACAGAAATGTGATTTTTAGCACAGCCTTTATTCTCATGAAACATAAGTTGACTAAGATCAGGAAAGATAGGACTCAGTAAATGTAAAGTACAATAAAAAGAAATTGCTGGTATCTTGATTGATACCTTCAATCTAAAAGGCATCACAGCTTGCATATTGGAAGTATGCTACTTCATTATAACTAGAAATTATTTTATTGGCTTTGTTATACTCCATTTTTAATAAACAGAGTTCTGCAGTGCAGCAATATGCATTAAATATTTACTTAAAGCATCAACTCCCTAAAAATCTAATTTTCTAACCAAACTGATGTAATGCAATTTTGAAGAATAGAAAACAAAGGAGATTTTAGTTTGAAATTGGATATGTCTTTAAATATTTTAAAAAATACAAAAAGGAGAATAAATTATTTTGTGTGGATGGAGTAGATAAATCTAAGATGGAAGGATAGAAGTTGCAAGGAGGTGTATTTCAGTGTATATGGAGACTTTTTCTTAAAAATTAAAATAAGATAGAAATGGGCTCCTCAGAAACTGGTATTTTTTTTGCACTCAAGATATTGTGACAGAGAAGTGCAAACTCTATGCCACAAGTGCTAAACTGGGTTTCCAACCTACTTTTTAAAAATAAATTTCACCCAAAGATATTTATTGATTTTAGAGATCAATAAAGGAAAAGGAAAGAGGGAAAAAGAAAGAGAAACATAGAAGTGAGAGAGAAAACCAATCACTTGCCACCCGAATGTGCACTGACCAGAGATCAAAACCACAACCCAAGTATGCTCCTGACTGGGATCTGAACCCACAACCTTTTGGTGTACAGGAGGATGCTCCAACCAACTAAGCAATGTAGGCAGGGTCAGATCACAAATCTTTTTGGCTTTGTGGGCCTTACTGTCTCTGTTACTACTGCTTCACTGTAGTTGTAGGGTGAAAGCAAGCCTCCATAATCTATGACTGAATGGGCACGGCTTTGTGCCAATAAGACTTTATTCGCAAAAAGAAGCACTGGGACAGATTTGGTCTGGGAATTATAGCTTGTCAGCCATGTTACATCTTATTTTCTGAATTAGATTTGAGCAGGATTTACACATCAGCCAACTCCCTTCAGTACTTAAATTTCAGTGTTAGTAGATTCTTTGCTCATGGGATAGGTACCATTTGCCAGAAGATCCTTTCAGGTTTAGCTATCCACACCCACCTGTCATTCAGTTGTGCAGCTAGGCAATTACAATGGAAAAAGACTCCTTAGATGAGATTTAAGTTTCATTTGACCCCAAAGAATGGAGGATGTGACAAACATTTTTCAAAAAGGAAACCTGGGTATGAGCTCTATGACCCCAACGTGAAAGAGTTAATATATTCAATACTTGGTGTTGATGACTCTTGTTTAGGCCACCATAATGCAAGGGTTCTTTTACCAGCCTTATAAAGGGTTCAGCATTCTGGCGAAAGGGGTTGTGCATAGATGATTATAGAGTCCGGAGAGAAAAGATAATTTTGAAATGCATTGGGGTCAGAGGAGCTGCAGATTAAAGTCTCTATCTTGACCAAGGACCCGTGCTTTTATTCAACACAATTTATCCTAAAGCATGGTGGAAATATATACTTCAAAGGGTAAAGTATCAAAGGGTAGAGTACAGAAGCATCATCAGTTTGGGGAATTGCCTACAGCTGTTCAGGTGTTTGGCCAACAGGAGGCAATAAAATACCCTGAACTTTCTGGCAGCTAACAATTCCATTCAGGTTTGGAGGAAGTGCCGTTAGCCTTTTCCAACAGGTAAGCTATATATGTGGCTCACCCTTGTTGAGCCCCCCAAGCTTCACCAACCTTTTCGTAAAACTCTTGTAATTATTGCATGCTGGAGTTGGTTCTAGGCAAGCTGTACACAGGAATGGCATGTTCATGGACCGGGTTGACAGGACAAAATGCTGGAACTGTTGGCAGAAAGCTAAAGTCAATAGCAAAGGCAAGTGAACACGGCTTGCAGAGCCCAGCAGGGAGGCCGCAGACGGGTGGCACGTTGTCACAGGCAGGAGACCCTCAGCCCAGAAGCTCGGAAGTAGCTGTGCCTTCAGGTAGAGAATTTCTATTATTCCCATTGCTTCCAAATAAAACATATTTTAAAAAATTAAATCTGCTTTTTATTTTATGAAGAAGCCACTAGTTTGTTTTTTTGTTTGTTTTGTTTTGTTTTTATGGCCCCTCTATTGAGAAGGTGTTGGAGAAAGTGGTGTTCTTATATGTGGAAATATTTAAGTGTTAGCTATTTTAAACTAAAAAGAATATTGGCTGACTTAAAAGTGAATAAATGTGCTTAAATATTTTTTAGAGCTTTTCTTAGGGGATATTATTGCCATTATTTACAATAATTTTCCTTCTGCTCAAATCCAGAGGATTCACAACTGTTTAGTTCCCTTCTACCAATTCCCTTTCCACAATGACAAACAACACAGGTGACCAATGAGCAGTGAACATGATTATTCCTCTGCATGTCTCACTTTGCATCTTGTGTCAAGTCTGGGGCACAGAATGTGTAGAAAACCCGTGTTCTCTTTGATGGTAATTGTGTGAATTCCATTCACGGTCCACACGTTGACAAGAAACTCTAGGTCACTTTAGATTAAGGCTCCTGTTAAATAGACCTCACCCAGCAGAGTCACAGATGTGTCCCTTTCTCTTTTAGGAAGATTCCTTTCAAGCAAGCAGCTTATTTCATTTGCCTGTTTGCTACAGTTTCCTGTGGTGAGTGGATTGCCTACAAGACCTCCAGTTAAGGGTGTGGGAGGGAACTTAGGAAGGATCAGGCACCACTGGAAAAAGTTACTGGCATAGAGCTTTGGGGGAGGAGCATTTCCCAGGCACCTCAGGGCCAGGAGCCCAGGAGTGAGAGT